ATGTTATATTAAAGGACAAACTATAACCCCTTCAACAAATTACTAACGTATTAATTTTTTATTTTTTTTGGTGAGGGGGTAATGTATTACTTTATTTGTTTTGATGTTTATCATATTATTAAAAAAAATATTTTTTACACATATTTAAAAATATATGGAGTTAATATGAAATTATGTGAAAGATAAAGAAAAAAATATAAATTCATATAGTTTTATGTAAGCATAAAAGATTAAGTTCATCTCCTATTATATGAAAAATATTAAATGTTACTTTATTTTGTATTATTTCTATTATTTTATTTTATTTTATTTTGTTCTCTTTAATTTTATTATAAGGTATCATGCTTTGTGACTTTGTGTTGTAGTGCAAGTCACCTTTTTATCATTTTCATGTTGTGGATAGGTCTCCGTCTCTCCCCTCAACTGAACTCACTATTTATCATTTCCTCGAAACGCGGCGAATGGATAAGACCGGCCCCGCATCCCCTCTTTCAACAACCAATAAGGCATCGTCATCACGTGCTCGCCACGCGTTATCACACCAACGTAAACGACCCCTAACCTCACGAACGGAATTTTTTTTTAATATTACGGAAATACCGACCTGTACTCCTTTTTATTAAAAATGAAAATTTTCTTTTCATTTTAATCCATATTTTTTTATAATTTTTTTTAATTCCTAAAAACTTTTTCTTTTTGGCATGGATATACCTACGGTAAGATTACTAAGGTTTTCTCCTTATATGAAAAATAAAATAAAAAAAATCTGAGGTTTTCTCCTACGAACGGGTACTGGGTCGCACCTTACACGTGCGATTCTATTAATATGCTTGACAGTTAGAACATGCGTGTCAGCGCGTGATTTGTACGCGCGTGCATTGGTGGGTAGTGTACTTGCTGGGACGAGGAAAATGGCAAGAGCCTAGTATTTTATGATTTTATCCCGCTTTCAGAGTTCACATAAACAAGTTATAAAATGATTTGACGTGGTGTCATATTGAATGGTCTTGATTTGTTTTTATTTTAATTATGAACGAATTAATTTATAAATTGGTAATGGTGACTACTTTTTTTTTGGTCAAATAGAAATGATGATTAAAAAAATTAAGTAAATATATTTAAAGTAAAACTATTAATGTTTTCATTTAGAATTACACTTAATTTTCATTATATCCAGCTATTGTTAGATAAATAAATAAAGAAGAATTATATTTATGAATTTTTTATTTACAAACTCTTATAAATTATACAATATATTTTTAAAAATACATTAAATTACATTATATATTCAAAAATATATAATATGATTTTAAAAATTTATAAAAAAATTATAAACAAATCATTTCTCGATGGTAAAACCATGAATCGCCCACCGGATTACCTTTTGAGAATTGACTAAAATGTTTTAGCCACCGGATTACCTTTCGAGAAAATTACTTTTTTTTTCAACCGCAAAAGCACTTCATCCTGCAGGTTACTGGCACCATAATTATTTCAACACTAGCCATTAGTCGTTATATGGTATATATTGTGGGTTTTACTTCTCTCATGTTGTAGGAGAGAAGCTATCTTATGTTGTGAGATAAATTAAGTGAGGTCTACTAATTTTTTTTAAAAAAGAAGAAGAAAGAAAAATGAGGCACGTCTTTTTATGTGAGTGTAAAATGAGAGTAGAGTCTTATGTAATATAAGAGTATAATTTTCCATATATAGTTACATACGCTAGTAATTTCGGTAAAAAAATCTCCATTTTCATTGGGAATGTGAGAGTTTAGAGTAAACCAAGTCCTATTTTTTATTTTTTAAAATGAGTAATTAAAATATCATATTTAACATATTAGACAGGTATGTGATTTTCACGTTTTTATCACTCAAGGCCAAAATTACATATACAAAATTATATGATTATCTTACATTGACATAAGAATAAAAAAATGTATCTTCATTTTAGTCCTTGAATTACTTGTACCCAAAACTCAAATGACTAATAAATTAAAGTTATTAAATATAAGTAAAATTAAAAATTGATTAAAAATATAATTTATACTAATATAGATAATTTTATTTTTTACATACACAAAAAAATATGTGAAGTTCATATTATTTCTTTATTTTTTCATATGAACCCACATAAACACACTTTTTTGTATATATAATAAATAAGGAAAATGATCTTTTTACAATTTTTTTTTTAAATTTTGTACAAATTACACTATCTCCTCTCGGAAGAACATAATGTAATCAGTGTTCTCCTAAAAAAAATATAATTTATAAAAATTTATAAACAAAAAAATTTATAAATATAATTTTTTTTTTATAAATATAACCTGCTCCAATAAATAATTTTATCAAACCTAAAGTTAATAAGGAAAATCCATTTTAGTTGGAAAGTGGGAGAAAGTTGTGGCTGTGTTAAATGGCGTATGGTATATGAGCATATGACAAGCTTATCGCAAAGGCAAGTCATAAGTGGTGCATTTTGGGGGGCAGTGGCGTGCTGTGTGACTCAGCTTCTCACGCTCCACGACGCGTATTTTCATGCCCTGTTTCTCGTTGCACGAGTTTCCAGCTTTGCCCCCTTTTTTAGTGTCAAATTTTGCGAGATCCAAATATGTAGTTATCTTATTTTTTTACCTAGCTGGCATTTACTTGCTCCCAGCTCATGTCCCATTTCACTTTCCAACTTCCCTTTCCCTCTTTTCTTTTTCTCTTTTTTTGGTAAATATTCTCTTTCCCTGTCCAGTTACAGGAATGATTCTTTAGGTTATATAAATTTTAATAATACTTAACTTATGAAGATGAAAATATGCATAATATATTGTATGAAATTCAGTAAATAACAATCATGTAAGATTATTAGTTCATTTGAGGTGGTTGCGACATGTGACTTTTATTCATGAACATACTATGATGGTGTGGCTGTTACCCTGGGTAATGATTTTAGTATAACATTAACATATTAGATAAGTAGTGGAATCTAGAAGTGGCAAAGTGGGCGGTCCGCCCTATCCCGTCATCAACTCACCAAAAAATGAGTCACTTCGCCCTGCTCTGCTTTTGAAAGCGAGCTGAAAAACTCATCCTACCATGTCCTGTTTGGCAGGTTGGGCCGGTTGGTCTGCCAACCCGAGCCTATTTTACACTGATCTGCCTCGATCCATCTATGTCCGCCGTCAACCCGTCAAAAAATGAGCCCGCCCAATTCCGCTCCATTTTTGAGATGAGTTGAAAAACTCAGCCCGTCCAGATCCGTTTGACAGATTGGACAGATTGACCCACCAAACCGAACTCGTTTTGCCAGTTCCAGTGGAATCTTATCATCCTCAACGGCCGTAAAATGGGCCACATGATATATCAGTTTGCGGTGTTAAATCAACATATATGCATTTCATGCAGGGCTAAGGCCAATTAAAGGCTAAAGCAGTAGTTCCTCTCCCCACATAAAATGTAATTAAATCTGAACTGGTTAAAAATTGGTTGCTATGATAATGATTGATTTGCCTAAAAGAATTACTTATCCGTATCTATATAATTGAAGGGGCTAACATAATTTTTTGTGGTAATTTAAATCTGAAGAGTTGTTTAGCCGAAATAATAGGAGGCTCTTCGTGTGTTCCATATTCGGATTTTTGAAAAGTCATTCATGACGTGTGAAACAGAATCTAAAACTCAGCATTGTTATGATAATTAACTAATATACGTTAAAAAATTGTATACTTTTGTGTTTTAAAATAATCCCTGCAAATTATAAGAACTTGGTTGATCCGATAATAATATTTGAATAGAATTTGACAGCGACTTTAAATGAATTCTATCGATAATGTCAGATATTTGAATCTTAGAATCATCATTTAAAAAAATGAAAAACTTAACTACTATATTGGACATTAAGAGATTAGTCCCGTAGTAATGTATAGTGAATATTTTAGTCAAAGAGAATAAAAAAACCTTGGTTAACAAAGGATTATATATTTAAAAGCCAATTAACAATTTTCTATAAAAGATACTAATTAAAAAGGACCACCACTATGTGGTTCTATGAATTTGACAATATTTTAAAATTGTTTGAGTGGGTTTAACAATTCAATAATTAAATTAACATGGCCAACACATGCCGCGTAGTAAAGAGTATATTAAATGGACGAATGGTGGATAATGTTTTTAAAATAAAATGTAAGGTACCAACTAGAGAAAAGTAGGTGGTGGTGTTGATGTGTGTTTTTTTAGTATGATGAACTGTACTTGCAACTCAGAATAACATAATTCAACCACGCTTATTGATAAGAATGCAGAGAAATGATCATTTAACTTGACATAGCATTGTATTACTACAGGGTCTTTCATTTTCATAATAATTCAATTATCATGTTAGCCAAAAAAAGGAAATCATTAATTTTATGACCAATAATCGATGCAAAATTCTTTATATATCTACCTAATCTAAGGTTGTAGAGTTTGCGAGGATTCAAATTTAAAATTTTACATATATTAATTGTAGCAGGCCAAGTGGCCAACTAAACATTATTAGGCTTTTATTATTTTAAAAATTAACCGGAAGCATTATAAGCAGACGGCTAAATCACTATTAATATTGTTTAAGAATAATTAAATATTTTTTATTACATCATTTTTACTTTTAAACATTAAATGTATTTTTATTTAGGAAAAGGCCTATTATTAAGATTGGTTACAAAGAATGTTCATATCATTCATATGAGACTTTTTTTTGTTATTTTAATTTGTTAACTAATATCCCTAAAATTAAAAAAAAAAGGACAAATCAGACAATTGACAATTGTTGTAAAGAAAAAGAAAAGGAAAAAGTGCATTATCTAATCCAGACATAAAACAAAAAGAAATTTTTATTTATTTTTATATTGAGTAAAAAAAAAGAAAAGAAAAAGAAGAAGAAGAAAATTATAGCCACTGAGGTCTACAGTGACCCCGTGATATAAAAATAATAGCTGTTAGCAATAGCATTCTGGTTTTACTTCATTCTCTAAAACTCTCTTTCTCTCTCTAAGTTCGTTTCGTTGTAAGTTGTAACACAGCCTCCAATCCATTTCCTTAACTCCGTTTCTGACTCTCTCACATCACTTGTTTCTTATTTCGCAACACTAACTCACCGGAATCTCGCCGTCAAATCCCTCACAATCACCGTCAAGGTGATCCTCCTCGAATCCCTTCGTTGCTTAACTTCGTTTTTCTTTTCTAGGTCTCTGCTCTGTCTGTTCTTTTAATGGAATCTTATTTTGGTTCTTTAAAACTCTTAGCACTTCTAGTTTCCTTCCTTTTACGCCATTCCCCCCGCAGCCAAACGCCTATTTGTTCCTGATAGTTCACGTTTTGAGCACTCCTTGTTTTTTTTTTGGTTTATGGTTTATTTTGCTCTTATTTTTTTTATATTTTTTGTGTGTGTATGATTTATTATGAATTTGATATTTCTGGCAGGGAATTGATGATTGAACAGCGTTGAAGTCTGGTAATGTGGTGATTCATAGCTTGAATTTGCTTGAGGTGCGAGTTTCCTCCAGTTTTAATTTTCAAATATCATGTCTCTAATTATTTATATATTATTATTATTATTTTTAGGGAAATGTTATAATTACGGTCTTTTTTCTTATTATTTGTTACTACCAGATTTTAACAGTTGATTTTCGCCAATCTAATGATTATAATTTATTGAGTCATATTTATTAATTAATTATTAATTTTAATAAATTATAACCGTTGAATTGATGGAAAACAATGATTAAGACTTGCTAGTAACAAGTAGTAAAGAAAAAAGTAGTAGCTATAACCTTTCCCTTGTTATTGTTATTGTTATTGTTATTTTGGTGGAGTATATTTTCTTCTATAATGATAAGCTTATTTTGTTTTTTGCATTTTTTTTTGGAGCACGCTCGAGTGATTTCTATTTTTTTATTTTTTTCCTATTTTGGCATGATTTGATTCTCTTGGGTTTGATACGGCTCTAAGCACTTTTTCAATAAAGGGCGTGTCGCTTCCATGTTTGATTTGTCTTTTTTATTTTTTTCCTCCCTATTTCAAGTTATGCTTATGTACCTTGTAACATTGAACATTTACGTTTCTGTTCAAAAATAATCTTAACTAATGTATTTTGGTTTAATTTTTTTGGACCGATATATATTATTACTTGAATGTGGTTATCATATTTCATCATACAGAATCAAGGGGTTTCAAGTTATTGTCATTTTGTGGTCCTTTCTATTCCACGCATGTTGTAAACTCATTTGAAATCTTAAAACAGTTCTTGCCTATTACCTGTTGATAATTGTACCGGCTTTGTTGTTTCAGCCGCGGAGTCAATTAGAATGCGCATGCAACAGTGTTATCAACATCTGTGGAATAAAATCTGTGTGCATTGCTATTAAGTATTAGCTGTTAAGTCGTGCCTATAGATAAGACAAAGATGTTGTAATCATTTTCAAAGTCAATCTGTATGCTCTTTCCCGTGTGATGATTCGTGATTTGAGATGTACATTTAGAATCTATTACCATTTCAGTAATGTCTTCTCTCCGTACTTGCCTTCACGGAATTCTTTGTTTTGAATGCCAAACATTGTTTTCTAGTTTCAGTACTCAGTAATGATGAGGTGCTACGTTTTGTTTGACTCTCATGCCAACGATATTCCCTTTTGGTAGATTAGCAAAGTTATGATGTCTCTCCATCTAGTGGAAAAGTTGCATCATATATGTAATAAATGGTCCATGGTTAATTTTTCTTTTTGGCCTTACTTTCCAGGGTTCACAAATACAGTTAGTTATTTGTTCATTTGCTTTTATTTTTCTTTGGGGAGCTGAGATGGAAATAAATGTTACCAAGAAAGTGCTAATTGCTTGTAGAGCTATATTGTCTTGTTTAGAGCAATGCTAATGACCCTTTCAATGTTATCTAAACTGTATATTCATATAATCCATTTATCAGTGTTAGCATTCCAGGCCGAATTATCGTTAAGCACCTTCTGGTGCATATTGTTCGTTAGTCTATGATTTGAACTACCTTGATTATGATTGTTCTGTTTTGAGTATCTTATGCTCTATGTTATGTACAAATATTTGAAGCCTGGAAATCCAAGTTTTAAGTTGTGACATATTATTATTATCTGCATCAATGAACGGTTTACTAACTCTTTTTAGCCAAAAGGAAATTTTTTTTTGCTAATTGCTATTGTTGAAGTAATTTGTCCAAGAACCTTTATAACTCTAAGAACCAAGCTAGCAAATGTGCCTGGAATGAATCACAAGTGAAAGTAACAGTAGATAATATCTGCACAATTATCTGTTAATATCTTGTATAATGCATGATGCCTTTGCCATTTTTTAGTTGGAGACTTGAAGGTCAATGGTATGCTGTTGTTAGGATACTGGATAGAATATATATTGTCTTCTTCCAAGTATTTATTTATTTATTAGCTAATTTTTTTTTATGGGTATGAATTGATACAAAAAAAGACATAAAAGAGAAGGTTCCCTTTGATCAGCATGGCATCCAGATCATATGCTACTCTACTAGACTTAGCTGGAGGTTTACTGGATATTCCTCACACCCCAAGAACTATTCCAAGGATTATGACAGTTCCTGGAGTTATTTCTAACCTGGACTTTTGTGGTAGAAATGATGGGGATTCAGATGTCAGCTCTTCTGGCTGTCTGGAGCGGAAAATCATTGTGGCAAACATGTTGCCATTGCAGGCTAAAAGAGATATAGAAACTGCTAAATGGTGTTTCAGTTTGGATGAAGATTCAATTTTGCTACAATTAAAAGATGGTTTTTCTTCCGATACCGAGGTGATCTATGTGGGATCTCTCAAGGTTGAAATAGATACCAGTGAGCAGGAAGAAGTTGCTCAGAAATTACTGGAGGAATTCAATTGCATACCTACCTTTCTACCCCATGATCTCCAGAAAAAATTCTATCTTGGCTTCTGCAAGCAGCAGCTTTGGCCTCTCTTTCATTACATGTTACCTATGTGCCCTGATCATGGTGACCGTTTTGACCGCTTACTTTGGAAGGCCTATGTTTCTGCAAACAAAATATTTGCAGATAAGGTTATGGAAATAATCAATCCGGATGATGATTTTGTTTGGGTTCATGACTATCACCTGATGGTTTTGCCAACATTCCTAAGGAAGCGGTATAATCGAGTTAAACTAGGATTCTTTCTTCACAGTCCTTTCCCTTCATCTGAAATTTACCGAACTTTGCCGGTAAGGGAAGAAATTCTGAGGGGATTGTTGAATTCTGATTTAATTGGTTTTCATACGTTTGATTATGCTCGTCACTTCCTCTCTTGCTGCACTAGAATGCTAGGTCTGGACTATGAATCTAAGCGAGGACATATAGGACTTGATTACTTTGGCCGGACTATATTTATCAAAATTTTGCCTGTAGGCATTCACATGGGTCGGCTTGAATCTGTATTAAATCTTCATTCTACATCCACTAAATTGAAAGAGATTCAGGAAGAATTTAAGGGTAAGAAGGTGATTCTCGGTGTTGACGACATGGATATTTTTAAGGGCATCAGTCTGAAGCTTCTAGCTGTTGAGCAGCTGCTGCAGCAGAATCCAGATTTGCGGGGCAAAGTTGTCCTAGTTCAGATTGTGAATCCTGCTAGGGGTTCTGGGAAGGATGTTCAGGAAGCAAAGAAGGAAACATATTTAATTGCCCAGAGGATTAATTATACTTATGGTTCAAACCATTATCGGCCAGTTATTCTCATTGACCGTCCTGTTCCTCGTTTTGAGAAGAGTGCTTATTATGCTGTAGCAGAATGTTGCATTGTCAATGCTGTGAGGGATGGCATGAACTTAGTCCCATACAAATATATTGTCTGTAGACAAGGAACTACACTGCTGGATAAAGCTTTGATTAGAAAAAGTGATTCTCCTCGTACAAGCGTGCTTGTTGTGTCTGAGTTCATTGGTTGTTCTCCTTCTCTAAGTGGAGCAATCAGAGTCAATCCTTGGGACATAGATGCTGTTGCTGATGCTCTGTATACAGCCATTACTATGCCTGATTCAGAGAAGCAATTGAGGCACGAGAAACACTACCGGTATGTCAGTTCTCATGATGTGGCGTATTGGGCACGCAGCTTTATGCAGGATTTAGAGAGAGCATGCAGAGATCATTACACCAAATGGTGCTGGGGAATTGGCTGGGGCCTAGGGTTTAAAGTTGTTTCTCTTTCTCCTGGTTTTAGGAAATTGTCTGTTGACCACATTGTTTCAGCATACAAAAGAACCACTAGAAGAGCTATATTTCTCGATTATGATGGTACTCTTGTATCACAATCTTCGATAAATAAAATCCCCAGTCCTGAAGTCATATCTCTGCTAAATGTTCTGTGCAATGATACTAAAAATACCGTGTTCATTGTGAGTGGGAGGGGAAGAGATTCTTTAAGTGATTGGTTTACTTCATGCAAAATGATCGGACTTGCAGCTGAACATGGATACTTTTTAAGGTGTGTATTTAAAATTTAGGAAGATTAGGTATCATACACTTCGTATCTCTCCCCCACACCCCGTCCTTCTCTACCATAAACAATAAATAAATAAAAATTATGGGTCTTCTTTTTCTGGTTGCAGGTGGACTCAAGATTCGGAATGGGAAACCAGCCACTTGTCTGCTGATCTTGATTGGAAAAAGATTGTTGAACCTGTCATGCAGTCGTATACAGAGGCAACTGACGGATCTAGTATTGAAATCAAAGAAAGTGCCTTGGTGTGGCATCATCAAGATGCAGACCCTGATTTTGGTTCTTGTCAAGCTAAAGAATTGTTGAATCACCTGGAAAGCGTGCTTGCCAATGAACCTGCAGTTGTTAAGAGGGGCCAGTATATTGTTGAAGTCAAGCCACAGGTACAGTTTTTTTAATTCTTTTCTGTCATCTTCTTCTATTTATATTTTTATGCGAAGATTATAGGCAGTTTTGCTATATTTGTTGCAGGGAATAAGCAAGGGCTTGGTAGCTGAAAATATTCTTTCCACTATGGTTAATGGTGGAAATTCACCAGATTTTGTGATGTGCGTTGGGGATGATATTTCTGATGAAGACATGTTTGAGAGCATATTAAGGACGGTCTCATCCCCATCATTGCCGTTAGCTCCAGAGATCTTTGCCTGCACTGTTGGTCAGAAACCTAGCAAGGCCAAGTACTATCTTGATGATCCTGCTGATGTTGTGAAGTTGCTTCAAGGCCTTGGTACTTCATCTCATCCTAAGCCCAGGCATCTAGCCCAATTCCAAGTTTCTTTTGAGAGCACAATTTGAGTTTGGACAGGGCAAGACATAATTATTGGTTCCTTGTGGCTTCTCTAATTGCGAGGATTCTTCGCCTGTGAATAAGGGAATGTTATGTTAAAAATCTTAACCTGACATATGGTGGGACCCTGGTGTTGCAGATCTGGTTCTTTGCACCTGAACCAGTTTGCATGGCTTCTGGAAGCTTTGTTTTTTTTTTTTTGATCAATTGTGCGGTTCATGACGAGCTGACAATTCTTCTCAGGTACACGGTAACATCAGTTGTATTTGCTGGTGCCACGTATAGCTGTAGTTGTGCTTAGTGCTGTAGGCCAATAGATGTTCGCATTGAAACAATGGGCACCAATAACTTGTACAGTTACACTGTTTTTGTTAACTATACATAATGCCAAGATGGTTTGAGATCTCTTGCTTCAACCTAATGGTCATTGGTCAATGGGTAATCCTTGACCTGACCATATAAAAAAACTCCTAGGAGTAATTATTAAATTACGCCCTTGGAATATACTTTAAATTAAACAATTGTAAATACATAAAAAGATTTTATTATTATAATTAAAAATTAGTAGTATTTTTTGGAGCTTCCTCATCGCAGGAATGAGGAAGTAGGAAACTTTTCAATCAAGATGACATGGACTCTGTCTTGTCTCTTTCGATTTCTCAAGGGCTCATACGGACACAACCCCCACCGAGTAATAATGTGTGACTGTGAAAAGTGCTTATAAAAGCTGGTTTGTTCCAAAACAATAGAGGAACAAATTCAGAGTAAAAAGTCCGGCCATTAGTGGTTTGGAGTCTTCTCAACATGGTCCCTTTCGGTTTCTTGTTTAACATACTTAGTCATGGGGCACTCATCACCACATGAACATGCGTGCTCTGGCTTAATTGCTTCAAGTTCGTCCCATATAGCTCAAAGCTGATTGTAATAGCTGACAACAGTTGTACATCGTTGCTTGATCGTTCTAAGAATGCTCTTCAATTGATACAACCTAGGAATATTATTCTCCATTGAATACCTTTCTTTTAAATCTTCCCATAATGTGTCGAAATATTTGATGAAAGGTTGAAGTTGCGGGTCAATGGTACTATAAATCCAACCATTGATCATTGCGTTACAAATTATCCACGCATGTCCTTCGTCGCAGAATTCATCGTTTGGTTTCGCAATTGATCCGGTTACGAATCCTAGTTTGTTCTTTGCTCTGAGTGCGTTTTTCATGTCTTTGGCCCAATGATGATAGTTGGTTTCTCCTCGTAGCAAGACATTACTTGTTTCCAGGATTATCGTAGGGTGAAACATAAAATGGCAATCTTTGATCTATGACTTCGAGTTGTTTGCTGTTGTTATGTCAATATTGGATTTGAATGTCCAAGTTATGGAGGAGACAAATCAGCAGTGTGTGCACAATGGTGACAACCGACATCGACACGAGATACGACATGATACTTTGGCACGTTAATTTTAAAAAATATTAAATTTTGATACGTTAGGACACGTTTTGATATTATATAATATTTTTAATTTATGTAGTGTATATTATATTTGATATTCAATAATTTAACAAAAAAATAAAGATAAACTTATAATACCTATCAATTTTGCAAAGAAATATAAGATATCTCAAATATTTATATTAAACTCAATAAAATAGTAATCGTAATCCAACGAATCTAACAGTTGGAACTCAAAATGCAACGCAACGTAACCTTTGAACTTTTTTTGAGTGTTTGCAACAAGTATTGGAATGTTGGGGAGTGTCAGAGTGTCGGTGAATGTCGGGAAGTGTTGAACACGACACGTTAGGGATTTTGAAGTGTCGATGCTTCATAAGTGACAGCAGAAGGAGAGGGTTTAAAATATGTCTCTTAAAAATATTGGAAGCCCGGCTCCTAATTCATTACTAAGGAATATTCTATTAGCTGTTAGTTCTTTTTGAACTTTATAGAATATGAATTTTTGTCATGTCCATAATAGACCCAATTATGCCTTGCTTTCTATTGTTCACAAGTGTTTCTTTTTTTATATAGACTCGGGTTACAAAATGATTCACGTAATCTTGTTTTCGAAAAGCATGGTGGTTCTTTTGTCTTCCACTTATTGTGATCCAACAAAATTCGATGTTGTTCGTGGATGATGGACCTGACTATTTTTCTCGTGGGTGTATGGTAACATCAATTGTTTGTATACCTGTGCTTAGAAGAATTGTAGACCATAAAGCTGTTTGCATTGAACATTGTACATTTACACTATTTTTATTACAAAAACATAGTGCTAATCAGGTTTGAGATCTCTTGCTTTCAACCTGATGTGTTATCCGTGGCCGACACCAAAATAAAGCAAAATTCCTAGTGGGTAATTGAAGTCCCATCGAGGAAGCATAATGTAGTCAGCTTTTTTATGCAATCAGTCAAGAAATGAATTCCAAACAATGCTGGAAAATAAGGGTGGAAAATTTAAAATATTGTGATGGAGTGAATTTCCCCTTCTTTTTTTAATTATGGTAGATTTTTTTGCCAATAGCCATAGAGTGGATTTTCTCAAAGAAAAAAAATTGAGTTCTTTAATTATGCTGTTAGTTAAAGCAACCAAACTAGCCAATATCAATATTATTATTCTTAGGTCTCAGCGGTTACCATTAACCTATCTACCTTTCTATCTATCACTTCTTTGTTAAAATCCAAGCGAGGCAGAGGGAATCACAAAAAGAGTAGAAGATAATAGTCACAAAAGGATACCACAGAATAAGACAAATCTATCGCACCAGTGGAGGACTTTGTATCTTATTTCAGATGAGTTGATCTCTTAGTAGTATATATATCCCAAAGAGTCGCTAATAAAAGGCAATACCAAATATTTAGTAATAGATTCATGGCTAATTATTTTAAGTTAAAAATGTACTTATGCAAAATGTAATGCCTGTCACACATTACTTGCACTAATATCTATTCTCACTTGTGTTAGTGGTTGTAGGAGCAGCACGTCATTGGGTCTGAGGGAACATCAATGCTTTATGGTTCAATATTTGTCATGTATTAATTATGGAGTAAATATCATTTTTGGTCCCTGGTAATATCTACGAAATTCTTTTTAGTCCCTGACAATAAAAAAGGACCAAATTGGTCCATAAAATTATGAAAAAAGGGCCACATTAGTCCTTATGTCAACTCCTCTGTCACTAACGTGGCTCTTTTTTCATACTTTTAGGGACCAATTTGGTCTTTTTTTATTACCAGGGGCTAAAAAGAATTTCGTAGATATTGCCAGAGACCAAAAAGAATGTTTACTCTTAATTATATTATTTTCCTAAAGACGGCTCCTCTTACTTTGGTGTTTTCAACATTGTCTTGCCATTGAGTGGTAGCATTAGTAGGCGAATTAATTTATGGTAAGATCAACTATACAATTAAATACTAAAAATTTGTGCATGTATAAACAAATGTGAACAGAAATGATATGTATACAAGCATTACTCAAAATGCTATTGGTACATTGATTTACACACCAAACAACTAGACTTCTATGAGGGGAGAAAAAACATGAGAACTCTTGATTATTTTTCATTTGCTACTAATAAGAAGGTTCAGCATTTGTACTTGAAAATATTCCATGTTTTCCCCAAAAATAAGAATCCGAATATAGGATGTCTGAAATGAACAAAAAAACAAAACAAAGGTTGAATGTACTAGCCACAGATGTGAGAGGATGAATGCTTTTGAAAAGAATTGGCCACGTTTGTCTTATATAGTCACTATTTGTTTTCTTCCTTTGAAAAGAATAATATACATTATATAAAATGTTCAATCTGATCTTGAATAATTTAAGCATCACTTGGAGGCAATAGCTATGCTATGCAACAGTCTCATCACGTGGCATGGTATAATTGCCAGCTTGCTCTGATGCACCTCTACATGAGGAGCCAATCTTGTTGGTAGATTCAATTCAACTTGGTCTTGAAATCAATCATGAGTCATGGATTGTGACTACTTGGCCTGTCCAAGAGAAATAAGTTGCATTACTGATTGCACCAATAGAGAAGATACAGAGGAATTTTGATTAGTAAGACATAGTGGTAAAAACATAACATCTATTATTCATTCCTTTCCCTAGAGATTTTTAAGTTACCACTGCTAGTCAGAGCTAAAAACATAAGAAAAAGTAACAAAGGAAAGGGACGAAACCTCTCATTCATTTGATGCTGCATGCGTGTCTGGACCACAAACCATTCATTTATGAAAAAGACTATAATAATATAAATTATCATTCGATATTAATACTTTTTATTAAAATAACAAAAGAATACCTATAAACGAGGGCATCATCACTGACAATAACGAAGACAAGAAATTATCATGTGATTAGAGCTTGAAAACTGAATGGTAATTAGTGTAAATTAGAGTCTTGACACGCAAATAAGTGCATGATGCTTCTTTCCAATTTTTTCTATAAATTTATTAAGGGGTTGATCATGATTTTATTTCTATAATATAACTTCTTTTTTAATGGAATTATATACTGTAATTTATGGTGCCTTTAATATTTTAAAGTATTGTGGTATATGCCATTGGCGTTAAGATTGCAAGATTTATATTTTTTTAATATTAGTAATATTAATGAACAGATAATAAAAGAAAGAGCTACTGATGTTTTATAAAAAATAATGGTGGAAAATTAGTGGATAAACCTTAATTAATGAAATCCGAGTCAAGAAGTAGGTCTATCGATTAAGTTGAAATGTATTTTCCTTTCATTTTCGATAACAATAGGCACAATATCTAAATTCTGAAAATTTATTTGTCTATTTGTAATATATAATATCTGAAACATAAATACGTATTGTAAAGCTGTTAAGGTGTGTTTGGTTGTAGCAATCTGATGAAATAGATAGGTATTGGGGAAGTGGGATTGTAGGGTGACCTTATTTGGTTGAATCGTTTTCAATATTTGTTTACCTAAATCAGTATCTCAGTTTACCAATTTGCATGTCTATTGGACCAAGATAGATGGCCACATATTTCCACTTGAGACGTGGTATTGTGGGTTGTCTACCTAAATGGTCATATTAGGCAATAATCAGATGACGAGCGTAGCTTTGCTAGAGCGCGTGAAAGTGAAATTTTTTTAAAAACATGATTATTTTTGTAATAGTAACTTTTTTTCCCATCTATATTTTGCCTAAAATCAAACATAAACTTTATAAAATTTAACTAATTTTTTCGGTAAATTTTTTTTCAGCCAAACAACTTTTTTTATATTTTTCTACCAAATTCACTTCGTAATCATTTCTCTAATAATAACATTTTTCTATTATTCATAAATTTTCTCTTCCAACAAAACCCCATTAAGTTATTTTAAGTTTGCCATGTGAAATTATTTTTAAATGACTTTTAAAATTTGTGCATTAATGATCAGCGTTGGCAGTTTTCTTGAGTTCTACCTTTTTATTGTTTTTTTCTTCCCGTCTTCTGTAACTATTTAACATCTCTTCCAATACAAGTTTCGAAGTTTGAAAATAAGAGATATAACTGTTCTGTACGATAATGATGTATGCCATCGTTTCTTTAAGACACACAACCCAAGATGCGAGTCTACGCTAGCTCTTAAGAACATATTACCTAAATCAACCAGTTTATGTACCTATATTATTCGGGAGAAGCATATCATATTTTAAATGATGAAAAATAGTATTATTTTACGTAAGAAAAAAAGATAAAGATACGGATAGATTTTATATCTTTGTGAGAATGAAATAAAATAAATTATGTTATTTAAAAAGATAAATATTTTTTCCATATTATTTATCCCATCATTAAGTAGTGAATCATCAATCAACAATTTTTTTTTTTTTTTTTTAAGTTTTATGCTAAATCTTAAAAATTATGACATAGTAAACTGAAAATCATCTGGAAAAAAAAAATCTTAAAGCCGTCACACTTTGCAGTGGTAACAGCAAAAAATTTGGGAACAAAGAATATTTGTTATATTCTAAAATATATAATAAAGACATTAATATATAATTGCCACTGGCCCACTAGTTCCCTCTTGCTTTTTTCTTGTCTCTTTTGCCTTTTCCATTCTCTTTTTGCATTCACTTCATTCTCACACACACTCATTCACATTCACTCAACACTAACCCAGTGTTTTGGTTTCTGTTAACAACCCAATGCACCCAGAAAAAACCACTCTTTTTTTTCATCTTTCTGGTTCAAGCTTTTTGAATTAGGGTTCTTCTCATTTCTGAGAGCTTGCATTTCCCTGCTCTAGAAGCTTCTCTGGGTGCTCCATTACGAACTAGGATCAAATGGGTAAGCTCCATTTGGTGTTGGGTTTCACTCTTTTGGTTCTACTTGGCAGTGTCTCAGCTGCACCATCAGCCACTACTACTTCACCAGCAAGTGAGTCTTCCCCTTGTTTTGTGCATTCACTTCCATTTGATCCAAGTTTTGTTTTTTACTTCAAATTTTCTACCTTTCTTCAGAGATTGTTAGTGGGTTTCTCTCAAATGCCGTGCCTGCTTTCACTAAATGGGTGTGGTCGTTCAAATCAACCACCAAAACGGGTATGGATCTATCTCAATGCTGCTTGCATTTTTTTTGTTTTCATCTATTTTGTTTAACATTTTTATTTTCTGTAACATGGAATTGGAATGTTGAATGGCAGCTATTGCTGGGAAGTCAATGATGAAGTTCGAGCATGGGTACACTGTGGAAACCGTGTTTGATGGAAGCAAGCTTGGAATAGAGCCTTATGCAGTTGAGGTGTTGCCCAATGGGGAGCTTCTGATTTTGGATTCGGCTAATAGTAACGTTTATCGGATTTCTTCCTCACTTTCTTTATGTAAGTGTGCCAATGTGTATGCGGTAGCTTATGATCTGATTGGTTGCCCATGTTCACGCTATTTTTCATTTGTTTATTTATTTTTTATTTTTTTTGGTAAAATCAGCATACCCTTTTAGAGATTACAGGTTTGGTTTTGTTGTAGAGAATTGTAATTCAGCCGCTTTTGGCCTGACTTTAAACATTATCAACAAGCTTCTTGACTGTTTGATCCCTTCATTGTGTCACATGTTCTAAGGTTTACTTGGAGTTAATCATACTCTGACTTTGAAAATTATTAGCTACTCAACTTTGTGCTCCCTCAGGCAGTAAATCCTGAATTTCTTACTGTGGGAAGTTTTGGCGTTTTTCCTCATATCTCACCACGTCATTCGTCAAATTGCAATCTTTTTAAGATAGGTCATACAAGGTCGCAGTCTTTTTTTTTTTTTTTTTTTGTGTAGTTGAAGTTCAATGCTGTCTTAGATTGAAGCATATAGTTTTATAGTAATTCTTGTTGCTACTTCCAACATTCTTCATTCCATTAGTTTGGGACATCTTAAATTGCTGCAACCAGTGTGACATTTTATCATATTCATGTTTCATAGACTGACAAGAAAGCATAGTTGGAAACTGTCATTTCTTATTCTCCATTCCCCCCCTGGTCAACTCCTTTTTGCATTGTAGAATAGAATCAGAAACAGTCAATGGAAGCAATGTGCATCTAAGAGTTAGTTTATGTCATTAGCATCAGTTTTATTGTGCTATGTACCAAGCATGATCACATGTCCCTCTAGCTCTTCTTATGAGCTTTACGAAGATGTATGTAATGCATTTTGAACTCCTTGAGTCTGTAATATAAGACTTCTCTTTTTAATGTAATTTCTCTACCACACTTGAACCCATTTGCATGTGTATATTTTCTTCACTTCAAAAAATAGCATGTTAATTGGAATTCTGCAGATAGCAGACCGAAGCTGGTGGCAGGATCTGCTGAAGGATATTCTGGACATGTTGATGGAAAGCTCAGGGAGGCTAGGATGAACCACCCAAAGGGGATAACGGTTGATGACCGAGGGAATATCTATGTTGCTGATATTATGAATATGGCAATTAGGAAAATTAGCGACTCAGGTAAACATTATGTTATCCTCCTTTCCCCTGGGGGACCCTTTTTTCATTTGTGTCTGTGCACAGGATTCCTAAATGATAACATCATAAAACTTTGCCTTGTTTGAAATTCAAGACCACTTACAAATGATGTTTGTATTTATTCTTCTTGTGGTGCTCTAGGCCAAGTTATCTTTGAAAAACTGTTCTATTTCTCACATTAGGGTCAGTGGTGGGAACTTTTTATTGAATTAAGATTTCTGTTTTCAGGGGTCACAACAATTGCTGGAGGAAAATGGAGCCGTGGAGGGGGCCATGTTGATGGACCAAGTGAAGAAGCTAAATTTTCTAATGACTTTGATGTGGTTTATGTTGGAAGTAGTTGTTCCCTACTCATCATAGACAGAGGAAACCAAGCCATCAGGGAGATCCAACTACACTTTGATGACTGTGCTTATCAATATGGAAGTGGATTTCCACTTGGTAAACTAAACCAGTCCAATTTCTTTACTAGAAATTCTTTTAATTACAAATTAAGAGTGATTTCCTTCAATTTACAGGAATTGCAATGCTTGTTGGGGCTGGCTTCTTTGGTTATATGCTGGCATTGCTGCAGCGTAGACTTAGTGCTATTGTAGCATCTCAGGATGTGAGTGCCTAGTCTTTTTCCTTGTGATGCTTTATATTAAATCAGATGCATATGGACATTATAACTTAATTGGTCATAAATAAATATGATTCTCATTAAAAAAACTTCTTCAATAAATTTAGATGCAGTTGATATCTGGAGTTATTTTGAGAAATACATCTGTTCTCAATCTTTCAATAAAAATAATTTGTTACTTCTTACTTCCACAGTTAGCTGCATGACTAGTAAAAATTGTCATTTCGCGCTATGCTTTAGTTTTCAAAAAAATTCAATTGTGCATTGCCTATATACTATTGTCATGACCCGTCCTTTGTTTTCTAAAACTGCATACTCTAAAGTTCCTAAAATAGATATCTGAATATATTAGAAAATTTCAGTCAATAATCCATCTCATGCTTTTGTAGGCTCAGGGTCCAGCAATGTCTGGCTTTTCACCAAGTCCATATGAAAAGCCCTTGAAATATGTCAGGCCTCCTTTAATTCCATTAGAAGATGAATCTGATAAGCAAGAAGAAGGTTTCTTTGGATCCATTGGGAAGCTTCTTGCCAATGCCGGGGCATCAGTAATGGAAATAATGGGAGGGTTATTTCCTGGTTTCAGAAAAAAACCACAGAGCTATGAAATTCAAAGCCAACCGCAGTTCCAGCAACCTCAAAAGCAAGTAAATGCTTGGCCTGTGCAAGAAAGTTTTGTGGTTCCACATGAAGATGAGCCCCCTTCTATTGACACAAGAACCCCCACCCCTCGGAAAACATATCCTTTCATGTCCAAGGATGCTGAAAAAATGCCACAATTGTGGCAAAGTCGAGCATTTTACAGTGGATGGGATGGAGATCTTCAGCATCAACAACAGCAACAACAACACCAACAAAAACATCATCATCGCCGCCATCAGTACCATTCATCAATCCCTCACACTTACTATGAGCAAAGCAATGAAGAAACCAAAGAGATACTATTTGGGGCAGTGCAGGAGCAGGATGGGAAGCAGGAATCTGTGGTTGTTATCAAGCCTGTGGAATATGGTTATTCTCTCTATGATCATCACAATATTCGGTCTCGAACCAGTTCAATGGGTTATATCCATCACTAGTACTGAGTATATACAGAGATTAGGAGTAATGAATCCTCATGCACAGGAAGTATAATGATTTCTTTTAAACAGTGGCATTTGAGTATGCAGAAGCTGGTCATCAGAATATATTAATAGGTTATTAAGTTTTGCCAAATTGTAGGTCGCTCTGGTGTGTAAGCAAATTGACCATCATTTGAGGGTAAGATCAAGAAATTTTGGCATGTTATTTCTTCAAATGGTGTTTTAAATATCCAGTAGAAGTTATCTGGAAAGTAAAAATATAATATATACTATTTTTTTTTCCTGTTCAATCGAAAAATTGTGACATGCTCCTTGAGGAAGAGTTTTTCTTCTAGAAGTATAATCATCATTAGCTCTGTTTTTTGTACTTGTTATGTGGGTACCACATTAACATCTAATGGTTGTTATCCTTGGGTTACTCATCCTCTTGGAGCATGTGAACCCTTCTGCAGCTTTTTCCAACTACAATCAATTCCAATGAAACATATTCTCTAAAGTTTTATTTTGAAAATGTTAACATAATTAGAAGGGAGTGGATCTTCTTATGTGAAAAAGTGATTATGTGATCATGTTATTTGATCACAAGCACTCATTAGTCCTAAGATAAATAGAGAAAAGTGTATAATTTTTAAATGAGTGATTATGATCAAATAATATAATCACATGACTATTTTTTCACCATATTTAAAAGTATGGTTTTGAATAGAATTTCTGAATTTAGTTAGATTGATAAGGACCCTGATGTTAAAAGTCGTTGCACATGGGTTTTTTTTATTTATTTATCAGAAATTATAAATCGAAAGTAAAGCAGCTATTGAGGATAGAAGAGAATAATGATCCCAAATTAATGCAGAGATATTATCAACCAATGAATTGTGAGAGTAGTAATAATTGAAGGCAGTAGCTGATAAGGGCATAAGGCGAGTGACCACCGACCAGAGTGTGTCAACTCTAAATTTCCACCCGATATGATTACGACATGACATGTTGGGAGTTCCCACTAGCCACAACATGTGTGTGACATTATAACAATTTACATTATTAAATTTTGAGGGAGTTCCCACTACCCATACATATGTGTGACATTATAACAATTTACATAGGAATGTTAAATTTACAAAAAAATTTCTTATAATTTATTACAATTAAATTTTAATTATTATTTTTTATCGATCTAATAGTTATAATTTATTAAAGATTAATAATTAATTAATAAATATGACTCAACGTTTAAGATTTAATTATAAGAGATTGTAAATATATCCTCCCTCTAAAAGTAATATATATATATATATATATATATATATATATATATATCATGTTTAAAACATAAAAATTACTCATTTAAATTCATTTACAAATTAATATGGAGCATTATTATGCTATTTATCTTCTTAATTTGATACTTAAAATGATTTATTCGGTATTTTATTGGCAAATATTTATATTTAATAAATTTTAAAATATTATTATAAATTATCTGTCATGATATAATTGATGTTTTGAGAAAAGAACCAATCATGCAAGATTATAAAAACCAGCCTGATCCAGCTGGTTGGACCAGTTGAATCGAGAACTGGACCACTAATTGGTCTGATTGAGTCAATTAACTATATAGCCCGATCAATAACTGGTGAATCGGTTATAAATTGGGTTCAACCGATGCTAATCCGACACCAGTTTTTTGGTTGAATCATTTGAAAATTATTGCACTCCTTGGATTCAAACTTAGCACTTAAAGAAAGGAGAGTGAAATGCTAATTACTAAGTTAGATCACTTTAACTAATATATTACTTCTATTTATATATTTATTACATATCTTTATATAAGTTCAATTTAAATGATTTAACAAGTGATCCACTGATTAAATCAGTGATCCACTGATCTGGTATCCCAACCGAGTCAATGACTCAGTTCGAATTTACTAACATTGCAATCACGTATTTAACAAAATATTTTTTGAAAAATACTAAAAATAAAAATAAATTATTACTATATAACAATCTTTTTTATGAAAATATTTTCAATATTAAGAGAGTATCAATTGCTCGATATACCATTTATCAAATATAAAAAAATAGATTTATTTACACTATCTTGATATTTATAATTATTTTCATCCTTGTTTTATTTTTTTCCCTTTTTATAACAGAGTAAATACTTGGGCAGTGAAAATGTGCTCTTATACAGACACTCTTTCTAGGTGGTGCTTCATTACGCGTGGTGACTATGTGGAATAATATCACCCATATGAAAAATAATAATTTTTTAATCACTCCCACGTAACTAAACCTAACGAGAAAAAATTCAGTGCACTAGGATTGATTTCGGTGGTCCCTTTTATTAAAAAGGAAAAAAAAAAATCCATTTTATCTATACCATTTTTTATATTTTTCTTCAAGTTGTAAAAATTTTCCATTTTAGTAAAAGGAACATTGAATTCGATAATCTCAGTGTACTAAAGTTTTTCTCAACCTAAAGAAAGGTGTCAATCCACGTGTCATTTTCCATGTTAGACTCAAAAAAAATTCTAGTCCTTGAATTACATATAGTCATAATTTTTGTCAAAGTAGTTTCAAATATATTTTAACCAAGTAAGTTTAACTTGAAAATAAGTCATTATTTAAGACAATGCAGCTCACAAAATGATCATATAAGCTCACTATCAGACAAAGAATATGTAGCCTAAAATCTTACATAAAACTGAGGTATTACATATATGACTTCTACATGTGGAGCAATTTAATTTTATACATACGGGGAAATTGTTATTTTCTGATTAACGGAGATAAAGATATCTCATATAATCCATAACGATATCATATTTAAATTACGGGAGGAAAATACTATACCGTACATATATTACCAATCAATGTTAATAATTATGTCTATTTAATTAACAATCTCAAATCATTTTCACTTCCAATGATGACTCTTGAAATTATATCCTTTTTCACTTTAGTATATTTTGAAAAACAAAAATAATTTAATATTAACTATTTTTTTAAAAAAACCACCTTAAATTTTTATCGCAAATTAGTATAGTAATTTAGAAAATAGCACTTTGATACTTGTCTACCAATTTAATACTAGGTAATTTGAAACTTAAAATCATGTTGAACATTTTCTTTGAAAAATATTGTATTATTGTTATTACTATAAACATTAAATTAATGTGTGTATCAATTAAGAATAGATAATTTTAAAAATAAAAACACGTTGCTATTTTCAATTAAAATAATTATCGTAATTGTTTTTTTTTTTAATGATAAATTAGTGTTTACTGACTATAAAAGACTAAATGTACGTTGTTATACATACGTTGTGAGGCAATAACAAATTTAAACCTACCACCAAGGGGTTGTTCCAAATTCCAATTATGAAAACACAACTGTATTAAAACTTTGCCGCGACGAATTAATGGATAATATAAAATAAATAATAATAAAAATCTTAATTATCCCAGTTACGTAACACCATGCAAATGATATCTTACAGGTAACCTAGCCCTTCCAAGGGCAGCTGTAAAAATTTATTGTCGTATTGTACTCGTTGACAAGAATTTCGAATTATTAATGTTTTTTACTTTGAGTAAAACAAACTGGATAATATTTTTGCAAACAAAGTCGAACGAATTCTTCCAAGTATAAAACTATGACTTTATTTATAAGATAGAACATCTGAACGTCCGAAATCAATAACAAAGAAAATATCATTTAATTTCTTTCTAGACATTCATAACAACTCTTTGGACAATAAACAAAATTCGAACTGAGGAAGGGAACGGATAGAACGATTGATGAATACTTGTATCTAAAACTAGAAAATTTTGAGCAATTCTTTGACATCAAATATTGCGCACAAGAAAAGCTAGGAATTCAGGTACTATCAGTCAATACTCCAACAATCAAAACATATCAAGCGACAGGGACCTCAATATCACTTGTCAGAACAGCAGCAGGCCGGATGTATTCTTCTTCCTCCTTTGGAGCATGGATAGTGACAATATCAGGGAGAGGAGTCTTGGGACCTTGTTTTCCTTTAGGATCCCAATCAAGCATGATCTTGACCTTGATACCGAGAACACCCTAAAAGACACAGGAAAAAATTATTAGCATCAACAATCCATTATAAAACAAAATGAATCAATAACTTAAAAATCCTAGTGCCAAAAGAAATTCTATCAGGTAAAGAATAGAAGCGAACCTGTCTGAGGAGCACATGTCTCACTGCAGAGTCAATGTAATCTTTGACTGGTTGCCCGGAAGAAATCATGTAACCATCCTTGAATTTCATGGATTTGGCTCTCTGAGCCCTCAATTTTCCACTAACAATGACCTGCTCAAATCAAACAGCAATTACTACCAAATCATTATGTAAAGCTGTACAAAAACAGGATATCAAAGTTGCTTCTGTAGATCAAACCTCGCATCCCTTGGCACCACTTTCCATAACAAATCTCAAAACACCATAGCAGGCCCTGAAACAAATAGTTCAATTGTTTATAACCACAAACACAGAATACAGAAATATGTCCGTCGAGAAAGACAGGTCTATCATGGGGAACTAGCACATACACATAAATCAACTCAAGGTAGACTTCCATTAAACGAGAAGATTATCTATACCATCCTACATGAATATATTTAAAACTGAAAAAACCTTCGAATATTACAATTTATCGACAAAAAATATAGGAAGAAGCAAAGGGGGTATAATCTCAGCCTTCCAGCATAGAGTAAATATTAAACACAGGTTACAAGCAAGCACCATTATCTTATCATGGCTCTGTATAGCTTTTTTTTTCCCGGTTACAGAGAGCTTGTATCACTGTGGGGATGGGGAAGTTAGGCAAAAGTGCAGGCAAAGTGGCATGGCTGGGATTCAATCTTGGGATGAAGTAGTCCCTAAAGGGACTTAATCCACTTCAGCTGAGGCCCCACATAGTATCTAAAGCTTGACATTATATCAACATCTCAAGACTAGGTATGCACCTAAGAACAATATGACGCAGGTTAACAGTTAAATCAATTGACAAACCATATGAAATTAAATGGTCATACAGCTTTCAAACTAAACCACCAATGCAAAACATAAAAACATAGTTGTCAATCCCAGATTGCTGCACAGAGCATCCAACCCTAAAACACCATAGCACGATAGCGATTAGGATCGCTGCTACGCCAAAGATTATAGATACAATATAAATAATTTATACTACACTCATATAAATGCTCAAAAATAAAAAAATAAAACTACCCAAAATTAAAGACATACTCATCATTAAAAATTATAAGTAATTGTCTAGATACAATGGCATCAATCTAAGGCATACTTATCAAGTCAACAGTCAAAAACAGCAAAATCAAATCAGGGAAGTGAGCATGATTGGAAATAGAACATGTATCCCCCAATGTAACTGCATGAATACAACAGAATTTCACGAGTTTTGATGGAATAGAGGACATAAAATGATTTAGTCATCTTCCGACACAAACTTGATACAGAAGCACCAATCTGCTTTGTAGATGACTAAAAGTAATATAGTCTCCAAGGAAAACAAAATTCAAATGGCCATAAAATCAAACATCCATAAAAAAGCCAAACAAAAACCAGTGTATTCATATAATAATTGAAACCTTCTTCAACACAACTTTGAGAAAAAAAAAATCCAAACCCATCCCAATCCTCGATGGCAAATAGTTAACTGAATCCAACACATGTTATTAAACGTGACATGTCAAACAAAATACAATAATACCATGGAGAAGCCATAATCACATTCACCCTCCAAGCACGCATTTGATCAACAAATCAACAAAACAAAAAATGAAACAATCCAAAACTACCACATACTAAATGTAAAAAAAAAAAAAAAACCACTCCCCAATAAACCCGACTAGCTAATGTGGGGTGTACCACATACTAAATGTAAGCAAAAATATTCATTTTCCATACCAAAATGATAAATTTAAAGCATATAATACCTCCGTACAGCAAGGCCACCAAGGAGCTTGTAGCGGAGAGACTCTGCCTGAGCAATAGCACAAAGACCACGGTTGTTAACCTTCTCAGCATATAGCTCCACACTATTCTCCGGAAACTTGAACCTCTTCTGTACCACAGAGGTAAGCTCCCTAATTCTCCTTCCCTTTTCACCTATATTTCAAATACCCAATAAATAAATGAATAAACAAAAATCAAAGCAATCAATATCAGCAACATTAGATTCCACGAAAGATGAGATCCTCGAAATTGGAGCAATGAATTTAATCACGCACCAAGAACGGCCTGGGTTCGAGTGGCTCTGATGATGATCTCAGTGCGCATCGGGGTGACCCTCACCTCCACACCCGAGTATCCATCCTCCGCGAGCTCTCTGGTCAGAACCTCGTTCAGCTCAGCGAAGAAAACCCCATCGGCTACGAACTATAAAAAACAGAACAAAAAAAATTAAGATAAAAAACAGAAAATGAAGTTTATGTTCATTACTGTGTAGGACAGACCTTTCTCTTCTTGCTCATTTGGGTTGCCATTGTCGCGAATCGGAAGCTAGAGAAGAAGCTCGAGATCTAAACACACAGAGTTAATGTTGAGGACTTGAGGTGGCGGTGACAGCAAACCCTAATTTTGCAGTAGGGCTTTTGGGCACATGAAAAATCGTTTTTATAGGTATATCCTATAATAGAGCTGTGAATTACGGTTAAAAGGTCCGCATAACCAAATGAACTTTAATAATAAAAATACACATAAGTCAAAAGCCCTATAAATTAAAGCTATTTCACGGGTCATTTAAATTTATAATTTCATAAAAAAAATTATTATATTCAATACATTAAAAAATATTTTAACAAATATATATTTAATATTTTCTTAACATATTTTATACAAAATATAATTTTTTATACTTTAATTTTATAATAAAATAATATTTGTATACAAATATATAAGTGAAAATATAAAAAATAATAATATAAGTGAAAATTTAGTTACTATATTTACAAAATTCATTATTAAAGTATGTCATCAAATAAAGATTTTCTCACCAAGAATCATAACAGAAAACAATAACTCTACTGGAAAACTGAAGGTAACGATTACAAAAAATCTTAATGCTAGTATTGAATAACTGTTTTTAGTATGCTATATATTTGAAAGTAAAATCATTGATTTTCTTCAACTATTACCGTAACAAAAAAAACTTTTTAGTTATTATTATCGATAAAATTAATAAGGTGTATTGTATACAATATGTTTCAATACAAATTTGGATAGATAATATGCTTATATATCAATAGAAAGTTTCATTTTTATTGATGTGCAAAGGAAATTTTCTATTGAAACATATCACTGTTGAAAAATTTATTTTTATTGTAAAATATTATGGATGACCTTTCGCATGGTTCATAACATGTGACTCCTTGTTTTTCATGACCTTTGATGTATTCTACAACCATCACACTAATGGTGTGTTGAATTGTAGAATATATCAAAGGGGGAGTGTTGTAAAATATTATAGATGACTTTTCACATGGATTATGTATAATATCCACATGGTTCAAGTTGCGAAGTCGGCAAGTATACCGTTCGTTTCAAGTAATAAAAGTGATAAGTAAATATCTTCCACGAGGATTAATGCAACAAGTATTAATTTAACTATTCTCCTTAAGTTGGAAAAGAAAATTGTTTTGATTGTGAAAGTGATTGATTGTTGGAATTTTAAAAACAGAATTTTAAAAACAATAATATTAAAACGCATGCAAGAAAAGATCAAGAACGTCAAGAAAATATAAGATTGATTGAAAGTTGTAAGAAGATTGTAGCCAGGTTGCACTTCACCTCCGATCCTCCCTTAAATTTTTATATTGTATTTTATAATTAATTAATTGGTTTGCTCAGACAATTCATTATTTCCCTATAAATTAGTTGAACCCTAATGTCTTAGTGATTTCAACCTCTAACCCAATTAGAATCCTAGTGTCTAGTAATTCCTCTTGAATCAAGCATTAAGCAAATGAATTATAAGTCTGCAATCTATGTAAGCCTATGTCTAGGTCATGAACAAATTGTTATTCTACCATTGTCCAAACTAAAACCCCAATATGTCTATTGTGAGTCCTAACCCTCAAAACTCTATAATTAGAGTGACCAGTTCTAATCAGGATATGAAAAAATTAACACAAACAGAATAAAACAAACTAACTAATTAACTTATAAAAACAATACAGGAAATATAAAGGATTCACATCGGATCTGTGATCCCAACTACAAAAAGAAGTTAGCGAGACATATTCATGTCTGACTTAAACAATTTTTACTTATGTTATATGTATAAATATTTAAATTTATATGATTTTTTGTTTTTTAAATAACGAAAATTTTGATTAAAGAAAAAATTTGGTCCATGGCAGCCCTAATCCAACCCATTAAATTATAGAGATTTGAGTGTTAAGGCTAAAAAATGTCATACCATTAAAAAAGGCCTTAATGAATTAGGGCTGAATATATGACTTTGCGGATTAACCTATAGACTTCAACTCGCTTTGACACCTTTAGCTCCTACAATTAATCTAACAGCACTAGTAATTTTAGGGTTTGGTATTCAACAAATCAGATTAGTTGAATTTATGATAGAAGGGTTGTGTGATTTATATTGAAAATGAATTAAAATGAAAAACATTTTTTTCCTTAAATTAAACTTTAAAATTAATAGTGAAACAAATTTCATTCTTTGTTTTAAAACAATCTTAAGTATTTCCCACTCTTTCCTTTTTTTGAGCAATTCTTTAACATGGAACATTGCGCACAAAAACAACTAGGAATTCAAGTACTATCAGTCGATACTCCAGCAATCAAAACATTTCAAGCGACATGGACCTCAATATCATTTGCCATAATAGCAGCAGGATAGATGTATTATTCTTCCTCCTTTGGAGCTTGGACTGTGAGCATGGACCTTTCTCTTATTGCTAATTTGGGTTGCCATTGTCGCGAATCGGAAGCTAGAGAAGATGTGAGAGATCTAAACACACAGAGTGGAGGTTGAAGTGGCTGTGACAACAAACCCTAGTTTTGGAGTAGGGCTTTTGGGCACAGAGGGTCGTTTTCATAGGTATAGGCGATAATTAATCCAACGACGCCAATGATTTTAGGGTTTGGTATTAAACGGATCAAATTAGTTAATTATATGATATAAGCGTTACTTGATTTATATTGAAAATGAATTAAAATGAAAAAATGTTTCCCTCAAATTAAACATTAAAATTAATAATAAAACGAATTCCATTATTTGTTTTAGAACAATCTTAAGTATTTCTCATTATCTCTTTTTTCACCCCTAAAACATTCTAACAAATATGTTAATTACTAGTATGTGGTGAATAGTTTATTAGAATATATTGAATATGTGATGAATAAGTACACGTTTATAGGCTTCCTCTAAAGAATTGTTTTTTTCAAAAAAAATTTAATTAGAGCATAGTTTCTAGGTTTCTAGTTATAGGTATAAAGGTAAGGGAATAACTGAGCAACTAAACATTTATATAGAGCTATTGAATCAAGGGTGGCTTGGGAGGTTCTCTCATTTCAACAAGAAAAGTATGATATGAAGTCAAATAGAAAGAAAGTTTCAAATTTAATTTGTTATGACATTACTCATCAACAAGAATCGGTAAAGCATTGTGGGCTAAAAACAGTGGACAAGTATGTGGGCAGTTTATGTATGTGGATTGGCTATTTTTTAACTCTCTTGGATCTAAGGAGCTTGATCCGATTAAAAATTGGGACAACTTGACCCGTTTATTATTTGATCCGTATGGTCCTAGGAAATTTTTGACACCTCTACTTCTGGAACACACAAGTAATAATTATCAAGTTAGTATTCACATTATTCGGAGTAAATATTAATATTAATCCATATGTTATTTTTGTTTAACAACTCAACTACTTCAATAAATATTTACGATAGAGTTATACATTACTACATATAAGAAATCTAGTCATTCAAATCCATAATATGTTGCAGATAATAATAAGAAGTCGATAATGTAAAATAACCCCAAAGAAGATCACCTTTTAAGAAAAGATGTACTTAATCACAGTCGACATCAAGTTTAATTAAAAAATGCCTACATTTCACAACATTTGCTTATATCTAATGTAACAATCAGGATCGCCTAAGATTAATGCTTGTTATTACCGTATTTATCAACTCTATCATTAACATTATAACATATTGTTCTAGACAGGTTTGCTATCATACATTATGTTATTAAGTACAATTAAAATAATTGAATTAAAATTACGGATAATTTTTTTTTTTCCGTTTCTGCTAATAAATCAATACGATAACCGTTGAACTCAAATACTTTAAACTTTATTCATACGTACTTTGGAATATACATTAAACTACCAACCCTCACTAGATAATATCATGAACCATAAGGGTGTAGAATTAATTTTTCTTGAACAGAAGTAGCACGCTTTAGTACCCTTGAGCACATTTTAGTGTGCTCCTGCACGCAGAAATTACTCTGATTTGCGTGCTTTAACGCTCTCATCTGGTATTTTCATCACCATTAGTACGCTTTAGTGTTCTCCTTGCGCGCTTTAGCGTACTCAAGAGGTTGGCTATTGCCTTCCTGATTTTGTAGCGTGTTTTAATGCTCACTAGTGCACGCTCTTCGAATAATTTCTCTAAAACACTAGCGCGCTCCCCAAAACCAAAAATGGTTTCATTGGTATCATACTACCAACTTAGGAAATATCTTGCCTCTCTTTAGGGTACCTAATTGACAAGTTATAAACTCTTGTTACAACTTGAAATGGTACTTTTATTATCATAAAATTTTCATCTATTTCATGATTGATAAACTCTCATTTAAATATTCATACATCCAAGTAGATCTTAACAAGTATAGTTCTCCAACTTGTACATTTCTTAGGCATCAAGCCATTAGCTTTAACATTGCTTGCATTCTAAGTTAACTCATTTCTTAACATTACATGCATGAATTAACTTGTACAACCTCATATATAATACCTCTTGATTCTCACAATTTCATACATTATATTCTAAGAGAGATCATCATCATGTCAATGTCTCAACTTAGTCATTTTTGATTTTTTTCATGCTTCTCATGATCATACATGAACTATAACATCTCTTACATGAGCATCTTATGCATCATATTAGATAACCTAGCCATTCTTGTGCATAGGTTATAAATTACATAATTCACATTTACATAATCCAAAATACATTTACATCATTGTAAATATAAGCCATATATATGAGTTTCTATCAATGTACTCCAAGACTTACAAATGTATATAGCCATTCTCTAGGCTTCTCAAAATACATCATCATATCATGGAAATATACTCAACATCAAAATAATAATCAATGCTCTTATGTTATCAGTCTTGCTCAAACTGACTTCTTGTCAAGTAATGCTCCAACACCATCATTGTTGGTACCTGAAATGATATCCCCAACACGGGGTGAGATAAAAATCTCAGTAAATTAAGGGTAATTGGAGGATCATTCCACCCTTAAGTTTACTTCATGTGCATAGCAACAAAATAAGCATAACATATAATACATCATACATAATCTCAACTCGCAGGGAAAACTTCCAGTAAATAATTGTGCCTCTTTGGTAT